CACTTGGGGGCAAAGATCAAGCCAAGCAGTGCTGCACTGGAGGCCAGATAAGAACTGCTGTGTTGACATCAGGCACAAAACCCATTCAAGAAGGAATATTCATTTCAAATGTAATTAAAAATTAAAACTATTCTATATTAATTAACTATATACAATGGCTGAAACAAGTATCCCACCATTCTTAATCTCTTATTCAGTGTCCCACAATATCTTAATCTCTCACAATACAATATGATTTCATTGGTTCATAATTCTTCATTTCATTTCAATAAAGTGTGTTATGTTTGGCAGCACATATACTAAAATTGGAATGATACAGAAAAGATTCACATTGCCCATGCACAAGGAGGACATGAAAATTTGTGAAGCATTCCATATTTTTGGAAAACATGATCCTTCATTCTGCTGGGTACAAGAAAGATGGACCTCCTAGTAGAAAGAGTACCTCCTAGTAAAGGGCTGGAAAAAGGTTTTCTAAGCTAACATGCCGAAGAAGCAAGCTGGAGTAACCATTCCAGTATCTAGTAAAGCAGACCTTTTTTAGGATTTATTTATTATTTATACAACATTCTGCCTGCACACCAGATCTTACTATAGCCGTTTATGAGCCACCATGTGGTTGCTGGGAATTGAACTCAGGACCTTTGGAAGAACAGCGAGTGTTCTTAACCTTTGAGCCATCTCTCCAGCCCCTAAAGTATACTTTCAATCAAAATTAATCAAAAGAGATGGGGAAGGCCACATCATTGTCATCAAAAGAAAATATGCTAAGATGATGTCTCAATTCTGAATATCTATGTCCCAAACACAAGGGCACCCACATTCATTAAAAAAAATTACTAATTTAAATCACACATCAAACCGCACAAGTTAATAGTGGGAGACTTCAACATCCCACTCTCAACGATGGACAGATCATCAATACAGACAACAGATCATCTGGAGGCATCTCCATCCCTGATCTCAAGCTGTACTACAGAGCAATAGTAATAAAAATGGCATGGTATTGGCATAGAAATAGAACAGTGAATCAATGGAACCGAATAGAAGACCCAAAATTAAACCCACTTACCTATGGATATTTGACTTTTGACAGAGAAGCCAAAAACATTCAGTGGAAGAAAGACAGCATATTCAACAAATGGTGCTGGTCCAAGTGGATGTCTACATGCAGAAAAATGAAAATAGATCCATATTTATCACCCTCCACAAAACTAAAGTCCAAGTGGATAAAAGATATCAACATAAAACCAGATACACTAAATTGGTTAGAAGAAAAAGTGAGTAAGATATTGGAACTCATTGGCACAGGAGACAACTTCCTGAACAGAACACCAAAAGCACAGGCTCTGAGAGCAACAATCGATAAATGGAACCTTATGAAGCTGAAAAGCTTCTGTAAAGCAAAGGACATAGTCATCAAAACAAAACGACAGCCTATAGACTGGGAAAGGATCTTCACCAACCTACATCTGACAGAGGGCTGATATCCAGAATATATAAAGAACTCAAGAAGTTAAAAAGCAGCAAATCAAGCAATTAGGAATAGTGCTTCCTCAAGATCCAGCTATACCACTCCTAGGCATATATCCAAAAGAGGCTCAAGTACACAACAAGGACATTTGCTCAACCATGTTTGTAGCAGCTTTATTTGTAATAGCCAGAACCTGGAAACAACCCAGATGTCCCTCAGTTGAGGAATAGATATATAAATTGAGGTACTTTTACACAATGGAATATTACTCAGCAATTAAAAATTAGGAAATCATGAAATTTGCAGGCAAATGGTGGGACCTAGAAGTGATCATCCTGAGTGAGGTATCCCAAAAGCAGAAAGACACACATGGTATATACTCACTTAAATAGACCTATAAGATAGGATAAATATGCTGAAATCTATCCATCTAAAGAAGATAAACAAGAAAGAGGACCCAGGATACGATGATCAATCCTCACTTAGAAAGACAGATGGGATGGAGATTGGATGTAGGAGCAAACAAGTAACAGGACAAGAGCCTACCACAGAAGGCCTCTGAAAGACTCTACCTAGCAGTGTATCAAAGCAGATATTAAGACTCATAACCAAACCTCCGGCAGAATGCAGGGAATCAAAAAAAAAAAAAAAAAAAAAAGCAGGGGGGTTAATATGACCTGGAGAGGACAGAAGTTCCACAAGGACCAAATATATCTGGGCACAGGGGTCTTTTATGAGACTGTTTCTCCAGACAAGGACCATGTATGGGTGCAACCTAGAGCCCCTGCTCAGATGTAGCCCTTGGTAGTTCAGTATCCAAGTGAGTACCCTAATAAGGGGAACAGGGACTGTTTCTGACATGAACTCAATGGCAGGTTCTTTGACACCCCCCCCCCAGGGAGGAGCAGCCTTGCTAGGCCACAGAGGAGGACTTTGCAGCCAGTCCTGAAGACACCTGATAAACCAGTATCAGATGTAAGGATAGGAGGTTCTCCCTTATCAGTGAACTTGGAAAGGGGCAGGGAGGAGATGAGGGTGGGAGGGTGGGATTGGGAGAGAAAGAGGGAGTGAGATACAGCAGGGACACAAAGTTAACAAATTGCAAATAATTAAAAAATTAAAATTAAAAATTAAAAAAATGGAAAAAATAAAATAGCACAAAAAAAGAACTCAAGTATTTAAACAGCAACAAATTAAGTAAGTGAATATTAGACATATAATATAGGATGAACCTACTAAAATCTGTCCACCTAAGAAACTAATCAAAAGGAATTCTGGATAAAATGTTTAATCCCCATTCAAAAGGCAAAGAGGATGGACATCACAAGGAGAAAACAGGGAACAGGACAGGAGCCTGCCAAAGAAGGTTTCTGAAAGGCTCTACCCTGCAGGGTATCAAAGCAGATGCTGAGACTTATGGCCAACCTTTGGGCAGAATGCAGGGAATCTTATGAAAGAAGTGGAAAATAGGAAGACCAGGAAAGGACAGGAGCTCCACACGGAGAGCAACAGAACCAGAAAATCTAGGCAGAGGGGTCTTTTTTGAGACTGATACTCCAACCAAGGACCATTCATGGAGAAAACCTAGAGCCCCTGCACAGATGTATCCCATGAGAGCTCAGTCTCCAAGTGGGTTCCCTAGAAATGGGAACAGGGACTGTCTCTGAGATGAACTGATTAGCCTGCTTTTGATAACCT